AAAAAAACATTGATACTGTTTTTGTTACGTTCACTCAGGGCCTTCTCTGTATAACTTGTAGGTCCTGCCAGTTTGCAACTAGTCTCCAGTAATTGTTAAAACAAAATACAAAAAAGTTTTGTGGCTTAAAGAAAGGTTGAAATTCAATTTTAAAACACTTAATTATCATAAACCTTCTTCATTAGAACTGACCTCAGCATGCCCATGAGGAGAGTGGCCAGAGTGAGGGAGAACAGGGACAGGGAATAGCCAATGACAGAGATGAGTCGAAGGGCAGTCTGGCGAAGCATTTCCTCCTCCTGGACACATGCATTGCAAAAACATTATAGAATATTTCCTCAAATGGTTCAAAYGATAAAGTAAACATTGTTTTGTTTTTGTTTTGTGGATTAATAACTCTCCTGACACCATTCCTCCTCACCTTGTCTTTAAAGAAATGGTCCTCAACACATTCCGAGCCATCTCTCCAGGGATCAGAGGTGTTCTCCATCTGCCGCCAGCTCCCATCCTCTAAGCATTCACGATGTGCCCTCCTGGTGCTGCCTAAAGTTAAAAAGTACAAACATTTGCTGAATGTATTAGGAATTCAAGAAAGTCATATTAAAAAGGATTAGTCCAACTGTCAGCCTTTGTTGGCTGAGCAAGCACCTGCCCTGTTAAAATTTATTAGCACTGGCCTTGTGAAAAACAGCATTTTTGCTGAAAAAAAGTTCATATTTTTAAAATAAAACAAAAAAGTAAAACTCCAACGTTATTGAGTGCATCTGAAGAATTACATAATTTTAAATAAAATGCAGTCAAGAAAGGAACAATTCTGACAAGATTACAAAAAATACTTATAGGTTAGATAAGAACATCAGTGATACAATTTGAACTCCTTCCTGGAGCAACAGCAGCTTTTTTTTTTCAAGTGGCACCAACAGATAAATATAAGTGTTTGTTTTTTATTGTCTAGTGCCAAAGGCAGAGCAATAACATTTTTGCCCATGTCATTGTGTTCATTTGCCTGTACTGCTAATAAATATCTCATGACTCACTGAACTAATATGAATGAAACATTCAGACAGTAATCAACAGATGAACATTTACAACTTATTATATTTTGAGCTTGACCCAATTCAAGACAGCCACTCCAGCCAATTCCCTTTAGAAAACACGACAGGAAAGTCTCCCAAAACCGGATCTGTAATTTGAAAGTGTACCACAAACACAGGTGTATTTTTTACCTCTTTCTCAGGATTGTATCTCACAAGGCAGAACAAGACCAGACCCTGGGTCCACGAGAAAGAGACTAAATAAAATTCTCATGAGTCTTTTCAGGCAGCATTTCAACAACAAATGACCTTCTGAGTTCTCATTAAACTTGCATGACCCAAGGGTGCTTACTGAAGGTTCATCTGATGATGATGATGATCATTTATTTCAGACAAACATTTCACCGACAAGTGCCACAAAACAAACATACAAACTAAAAATAATAATAAAAATAAAACACCAAACATTACTATGATGTTCATAATCATTTACATTAAAATACACCACTTATTCAGTGATCATGAGTCTGAAAAGGAGTATGATGAAGTTTCACTTCTATAATCATACCCCTTTTCCATTTCTAATTCACCACATTGGCTTCTAATTTCCAGTATCCTTCTTAAAAAATACTATAATCACTATAGTAATGTTTCCTAAACCAGATGACACATACACACCTATATACTGTATATATAC